AGGCTGGATTATTCTAGAAGCTCTGTAGATATTACGTTGCTGCCTATTCTCTCCTCCTCCTTCTTCCTCTCCTCCGTTCTCTTTCTGCATCTTTTTCTCCTCCTTTCTCTTTATACTTTCTATATCTTCTTCCTCTCTACTGCTTTTTTCTCGCTCTTTTCTACAAAATGTTCTTTTTTCCCTCTATTTCTACTTTTTTACTCTTTTCTCCTCTAGTATCTCCCTCTTCTTTGTTTCTATTTTTCTCCTTTCTCCTTCTACTTCCTCCTCTCTTCCTGTCACTCATCTCACTCAGAAGAAAAAGGCAGAAAAAAGTAGAACGGAGAATGCCTCTACCTCCACCTCCACCTCTTTCACCTCCGCCACCACCTCCAACTCCTCCACCTCCTCCTCCTCCTCCACCTCCATCTATTCCAACTCCTCCTCCACCTCCATCTCTTCCACCTCCACCTCTTCTTCCACTACCACCTCCACCTCCTCCTCTTTCACCTCTACCACCGCCACACCACCACCTCCACCTCTTCCACCTCTACCTCCATCTCTTCCACCTCCTCCTCCACCTCCACCTCCTCCTCCACCTCTTCCTCCTCCGCCTCTTCCACCTCTACCTCCATCTCTTCCACCTCCTCCTCCAGCTCCACCTCCTCCTCCACCTCTTCCTCCTCCACATATTCCACCTCCACCTTCATCTCTTCCACCTCCTCCTCCAGCTCCACCTCCTCCTCCAGCTCCACCTCCTCCTCCACCTCTTCCTCCTCCACCTCTTCTTCCTCCACCTCTTCCACCTCCACCTCCATCTCTTCCACCTTCTCCTCCACCTCCACCTTTTTCACCTCCACCACCTCCTCCTCCACCTCCACCTCCTCCACCTCCTCCTTCACCTCCACCTTTTTCACCACCACCACCACCACCACCTCCTCCTCCCACCGCGGCACCGCTGAGGAATTCAATTATGGCGCCCTTAATACGGCATTATAAAGGCGGTCCATTTTACCGAAGTCCCGCGGGAAATTTGCTGAGTAAAATGGCTTGATAAAATGATTAGGTATCGCAAAACCAGAGGGGAAATACCCGCCTCCTGGCTTCAGATTCTTGAGGAGAGAAATGTTTCCGTGATTAGCAAGCTGAGGCTAAAGTGCCCAGGAAGAAGGAGGAGAAGAGGAAGATGAGGAGGAGGAGGAGAAGAAGAAGGAGGAGGAAAAGGAGGAGGAGGAGGAGAAGGAGGAGGAGGAGGGGGAAGAGGAGGAAAAGGAGGAGGAGGAGGAGGAGGAGGAGGAGGAGGAGGAGAAGGAGGAGGAGGAGGAGAAGGAGGAGGAGGAGGAGGAGGAGGAGGAGGAGGAGGAGGAGGAGGAGGAGGAGGAGGAGGAGGGGGAGAAGGAGGAGGAGGAGGAGGAGGAGGAGGAGGAGAAGGAGGAGGAGAAGGAGGAGGAGGAGACGAAGAAGAAAAAGAGAGTGAGTGCGAGAGCGTTATATAAACAGATAGATAGATAGAGATAGATAGAGAGGGAGACAGACAGACAGACAGACAGACAGACAGACAGACAGACAGACAAACAGGCAGACAGACAGACAGACAGAGAAACATACAGTAAAGGAGAGAGGGGAATAGAACAACATAGAAAATTAGAAAATTAATAAGATCGGAAGATAAAGAATTGTGAAACAAACATGATAACAAAGACAAAGCAACTGCAGTACCAATAGCAACAGCAACAACAACAACTACAGGAACAACAACAAAAAATATAATGATAATGAAAATTATATTCAACAAAAGTTTTGTGTTCAACGCAGAAATAAAAGAAAAAAAAAGTTACGGAAAATTATCTTAAATTTGCTATTTCTAATTTGTTTCCAGGTAGGATGTTATTTTTTTTTAGTTGGGATTACAGGAAATTTTTAAATAATGATAACGATGATGAGGATAATAAGAAAATTATCAGTGATCAATATGATAACAATCATGGTAATAATAATAATTATAATAACAATAATGGTGATGATTATTAATGATATTAGTAATACAAATAATGAAAAAAAAATATATATATATAATAGTAATAACAACAACAACAAAAAATAATAACAACAATAATATTAAAAATAATAATGATAATAATAAATATAATAAAAAAATAAATAATCATAATAATAATAATAATAACAACAATAATAATAATAGTAATAATAGTGATCATAATGATAATGATAATAATAATAATAATAATAATAATAATAATAAAAATAATAATAATAATATTAACAATAATAATAATATTAATAACAGTAACAGTGATACTGATAACAACAATATATATATATATATATATATATATATATATATATATATATATATATATATATATATATATGTGTGTGTGTGTGTGTGTGTGTGTGTGTGTGCTAGAACATCCACCTGAAAACCTTTTAACATCCTACCCGAAACATTTGTCTAATAACATATTTCTTACACGTTAAAAATCAACGAATCTGTACTTAC